TGGCCTTGTTGAACTCCAGGAGGAGAATTTGTTTAAATCTTGACTTCGAGAACAAGCTCCCATTAAGGAACCTGTTCAGCTCACAAAGTCTCACAGTGGGCAGACTAAAGGCAATTTCAAAGGCACAGCTGTGCTATTTCTTTCACTTCCCCTACCTCTTTACTCACCTCATGCAGCAGCTCCAGTTTCTCCAATTCCCACTGATGCTCTAGAATGAGGCTGTCACCCCTGGGCCTCCAACCTGCCAGGTTCTCTTCTCCTCGCACATATGCCACAGATGTATCCAGGACTTTCCTCCTCCTCCTCTGCATTCCTGAGCAGTGAACACCAACAGAAGACACGTTACAAACACAGCCAGAGGGATGTCACTAAGGAACACTCACCAATTAGCCATCAGGGAAGAACCAACACTTCTGCTGTTCAGCTGGAAACACAGAAAGTGATGATTTCCTTACAGCAATCACATGTCCCAAAGAGATTTGATTCAGTCCAGCTTTCTTACTTCATTCAGGTATTTTCTACGGACCAGGCCATAATGCAAACTCCTGTTCAGCCTAATTCAACACAAGAACTGCTAAGTCTCGGAGGAAAAATGTACCGATACTACGTGAACTACATCCCTTCCAAGTCAGGAAGCTTGCATCAGATATCAGCAATATCTCCAAAAGACCAAGAGAAAACTACTGCTGCAAAATCAAGTCTCAGCTGTGTTAGTGATGAGCCATGTATGACGCCCTCGAAGTCTCGGACTCACTCCACTGCTCCTGTGAAACACAGGAACTGCTGCTCATCAGGCCAGAAGCGCTTACTCTGTTCTGCCTATGAAAGTTCCTGCAGTGTTTTGGTTTACAGCATCTTTATCACTTGCACACCCAGGCACTGCTTACCTGGACTTCCTGTGTCTGCCATTTTGCACAAACTTAGTTCATAGATCCCGGTTACGCGGTTGCTGTTCACAAGAAATCAGAGGGGGAGAAAAAAAAAACGCTATTATCTTCAGAAGTAAAGCACACTAGTTTTAGTTAAGTGGTCCCCAAATTAGGAGTTTAAGTGTAGTTGTTAGAGCCACATCTGAACTCTAATCTTGACATAAACCAGCCAGGACAGACTGCAAGACCTCAAAAAATGGCATTTCCCTCATGTTACCCCCCAGCCCTCATTAGACTCAAGAGAGCAGCTGCTGCAGTAAATTCCAGGTCAGGATCAGGGTTATCTGTGTGCAAGCTTGAAAAATGGATCTCTCTTCCCAACTGTTCAGGCAGAAGGCTGGAAAAGGGGTCAGTAAAGAGAAAAGCCATAAGGTTTTCACTGAAAAAAAATGCAAGAAAGAACGTTCAAAACCAGATTGTAACTAGGTAGACTTCCAAGGAAGAAATGAAGAAAACTAAGCTACATTCTCCCACGCCCTCCAAGAGAAAAAGCCTATGCTGACACAACACATCAATGCCCAGATTGGTAACTGAACTTACGAATCGGGAGACTTGGAGTAGCCACTGCCAAAGAGACTGCGTAGTGATCGTGGCGGGGAGATCTTGGCATCCCGTGAGTAAAAGACCATACAAACATCCTTTGTTATAACGGCAGGCTGGATGCAGTGGTCAAGCTAAGGGAAAAAACAGTGATGAATGAGCGTCTGCAGGCAGCTATGCCAAGTTATACTGCTTCCCTCTCTCAGTGGGACAGCTTTTTGAAATTTGTTCTTGGCTGGGTCTTTGATGAAGGGTTTTACTATGTGTTTCTTTGAAAGAGAACTGTCAAATTTCTTGATGCATCTTGCGGGTGAAGCAATTCTACCACACAAACCAGCGTCCTGCACACAAAGCCAAGAGCTAGGCCAGCGTTTGTAACACATAGCAACGTTCACTGATATCAGTGGCTTTTCAGATAAAGGCAGATAAAACGAGGCACAGAAAAGTCAGGAGATGACCAGTTCCACTTCACGTTTGCTGCTAGGCAGCAACAACTTTAAACTGTGAAGACACTTTTCCACCCTGTTCTCAGAAAGACTTTCACTGGCTTCAGCATTCAAAAATCACTCAGTTCAGTCAGTATTTCTCTCGGGTACACACCGCCTGCTGTCTCAAACAGCTACACTTGAGTCATAAGCAAGAAAAAGAAAGCACAGGTCTCTAACCTCCAGGTAAGCAGAAAGGGTCATATATATCTTCTCTCCATACGGTGTCACTCGATTGAGGAGAAGGGAGTTATGCAAGGAGCTATCCCAAACTGCTTCAAACCGATAGAAAGTCCTGGAAAAAAGTACAGTAAAAGCTCAACAGTAAGGTTCTCTGCATCCCTCTCACTGGTTAGTGCAAAGCATCGCTTCCTCGACATCATCCACTACGACTCTCAGTGGGTTAGATAACAAATACGTGAAGCAAAGGCCTTCTCTTCTTTCCCAAGACTACTTACTTCTACCTCAAACAGTGTGGCATAAGAGACCATTGCCTGTTATGAAAAAACACATCTAAAAGAGGGAACACAGAAGAGAACAAAAGCTGGCGTAACACTACAGGGTGGTCAGCACTAAAGAGCAGTGTTTCCAAACAGACGGAATTCCTCTCCATTGCTTCAGGTGCAATTGAGCCCAGCTGAGCCTCCAACGTGCATGGGAAGACTTTTTCATAAGCGACACTCCTACACCATATTTAGGACTAACATACAGCAACAGAAGAGATCCCTCTACTAGTCAGCCTTGTAAAACCTGCAGCTCTGACAGCCCATCAGAACGGCTGATAGGTAGGGGTAAGTCCTATATTGCAGTGATAAAGATTTCTGTCTATATCCCTACTAGCTTCAGTAAGAACTTGCAGATCCAATACAAACTTTTGTAGGAAGCATCTTCCATTTGGGACATGGAGAGGAAGGAGCTGAAGGCTCCCACAGTTCTACCCCATCTGTTCAAGTCCGAAGTGAGAGACAGCATCCCACACAGGACACCTCAATCAGCAGCTCTAGAGGCACCATTACAGGCCCCTCTCTCTAACAGAGCTTAGGGAGCTTCCCATTATTCCCTTATTCAAGAACACAGCATGCTTTTCAGTTCTCTACACTTGTAACAGAAAAAGAAGGCATTAATTCTTCATCCATATAATTTCCCTCCCAAATCTCCTTGTCGAGGTTTTCCATCCTGTTTTGAGTCGAAATGAAGTGGTACTAAAAGCAAGAAAGTGTTTGATATATATTATTTTCAAAACCAAATTATATCACTAAAGAGCTTCTGTACTAATGCCCAAGGCCCACTGAGAAAAACAGAAAATGAACCAAAGACAAGTGACAAAAAGCAGGGTGGGGGTGGAAAGAATAACAAAAACCAAACCAAAAAGAAACATGCAACAGCCTAAGAGCAGACATGCCCCAGACAGAGTTCTGACCTCAAAAAGACTTTTCAAGAATCCCATTTTCCTGATACCAATTACTCAGTTCCAAGCTAACACACTGAGACACCACGAACGGTGCAGTCAGGTAGTACCATCTGAGAATATTGCTGAATACTGTTTGCATCTGAGACAGCACACTTAATTCTATTAAAAACACTACAGAAACATACTCTAAAGGCTAATAATAGGTAGCTTGAAAAGCACTGTAATGTACTGATCCTTACGTGAGATAGATTAGGCAAACACAGCTTGTCCTCTAACCCTTTGGAAATCTGTGTTGAGTCCCTATTTATTAAACTTTCATCATATCTTAGTTATGAGAGCAACTTCTTAAACTTTTTGCAAGCTCCAGATCTACTGTCTGGGTGGAAGGAAAAGGAGTAAAACCCGGTTCTCCACAAAGGGGAAAGCCAGCGTAGCCAGCCCCCGGGCCAGCTCCGCACCGTTTGCAAACGCGACTGCCCATCGTGGAGAGAGAGCAAGGTGTAAATGTTCATTAGTGCACTACTAAATGCCCCTCTTCAGCAAAATGATGATTTTTGGTTCAACACCACGCTGCAGTCAACCGACTTGGAGACAGTTACTCTACTGGATTCTGTCTAGCCAGGAAGTTAAATATACACAGTTTTGCCTGTCCCAACCAGAACTTGCTGCAACAGTTGTAGAGGGAGACAAAAACCAGAAGTGAGCACTTTCAGCGTAGCCAACAGAGCAAGGAGGAACACGGAGCACAGAACAAACAAAGCATGGAAATCAGGAGAAACAGGTTAAAGGCACCCAAGTATAGTTAGAACTGATTTTTAAGTGGATTTTAGCATTACTGAAAGGTGGTGAATTGAGAACACTGAAGACTTAAGTCTTCTCTTCTTCCAAGAGGCAGAACACGGAATGCAGAGTGCAAACTGTCCCAGACCGTGCAGCCAGCATGCCCGGCTGTGATCCAACGTGGAAGGTGAAAGAGGAATCCAGTCTGAGCAGCTACTACATGTCTCGCTTCTCTGCCAACTGGTAAACTGGGAAGTAGCAGCCACATGGCTAAATTTCAGATGCAAATCCAACCTAAGAACAGAGGTTGAATGCCAGTCACATGGCAGCCACTGCCCTTTGTTCAGTGACTCTGCGCTGGAATTTCAAGTAACCTCATCATTCAGTCCTTGACTTGGCACTTCAAACATGGCAAGCATGTCACAGAGGGTAGGAAATACCAAATTTAGTTCTTTGATTCAGAGCAATGGAAGAAAATAGCAAGGACTACAAATAGCGACCGTATTGTGATGGCACATTTTGAGAATCAAAGACTGAATGAAGGAACGTGTGAAGGAAAATTCACCTTCACAAATCCCTGACACAAAGGAGAAGGAGGTGTAACTACTTCTGGAAGAGCTGAGAGGCAGGCTAACAGAATTCAGTAAGAGCTCGGCGGGAAGTGGCAGCAATACACATGGGACATAAAGCATTCTATTGTCAAGAATCTTTATGTACAAAGGAAGCAAACAGAAAATACCTAGGCATATCCTTATCAAGAAAGAGCCTGTAAAAACACAGAAAGAGCTTCAGTTAGTGCAGCCAAAAGCAGAACAGAAAAGCAACAGCTGAGAGGAACAGAACGAGTGGTCTTAAAAAAAAAAACCCAAACAACACACCAGCCAGAAAACAAGTCTGCAGGGAATGAGCAAATGTGAGACACATCCCTTACCAGGGCTCCACACCCATCCACCTCCACAGCTTAAACCCTGGCATTTTGGGAAGAGATGATCAACAGCTCCCCTTCACTCACACCCCCTGTTCATCCAAGTGGCTCACCGAATAGAGACCTGCAGAGCTACGCAGGAAACTCTTGAAACTGCTAGCAAACAGAAAGCACTGGGCTTTCCAACTGCAAATCCAACGCGATCAGCCTGGAGTCCGCTGTGTTCCAGTTAGACTGACCCATTAGGACAAATACACTGAAAGTAAAACCCCCAGTTCCCAGTGGGAGGCAAAGAGCACCTGCCAGCGAACCCCTGTCCCGCTGTGCCTTCAGACAGGAGGCAGCAGGGAGACATCGGCGTGGCAGGAGCCGCGTCCCGCATCCACCTTCAGAAGCGCGGCGGCATTTCAAAGCCCAAGCTGCCAACGGAGAAGGATCCATCCATTTCAGCGCCTGCAGCACGCAGCAGCTGCGGCAGAGATGGGCTCCAAACAACGCCCTCCCCTTGGGAAACACTCATTCGGAGCTACGTTTCAGAGATACTCCTGCTTAGCACCGGCTTTACAGGCTCACGGAGCGGTCAAGTGACTTGGCTGATGTCGGAGCAGGGAGAGGCTGTGCGGGCCAGGCAGCATTCTGCTTCACTGCCCGCTGTTGCACACACTGGAGCAAACCAGTGTGGAGCCTGACGGATCTTCACAGCAACACACCCTGATGTGGAGACACACACAGCCAGAAACCTCTCGGACAGGGGCCTGCCGTTGTCCAAAAACCGCAGTTCCATGGAACGGACACCCCCTTGCTAGAACTGGAGTCAATCTGTGATACAGCTGTATAAATCCACCAATTATGAAGTTTAATCTACAAAGCATGGCTCTTGTTTAAACTGTCACGTGCTTGTTCCAGGGATAACAGGTATGTACACATCCAGAAATACATCCCCAAATATTGCCCTTGTACTTTAACGCTGCATTCTAGCAACAAGCCTTGATGTCAGTTTACAAGTTCTGTGTTTAATTCAGACTCCCATCAATCATTCCTTTTCATCCTCCCTTTATGGTGCTTACAAATGGAAAATAATTCCAATCAACTATCAAGAAATCCTCTGTGTAGAGCAAGGGACTTCAGCTTTCGCAAGAATTTATGGTGACGCTCATTCTCTGTATGCCCCGTGCCCATGGAATCCTACATTTAGTAATTAGTAATTTAGTAATTTAGTTGGTCCCTTCCAACCCTAACCATTCTATGATTCTATGATTATCAACATTCCAGGTTTCCAAACATCCTGCCAATACCTCAGAGGTAAAAGGACTCTCAGATTTCTACTGGAGTGTTCACTTTATTCACTCACCTATTGGAGCTGTGAGAGGACTTCAGGTATTTTGCAGAGATAATATTCAAAGACAGAATAGCATCCACAGCAGCTTCATCTACCTCTGCTTTATTTCTTATACGCCCTGAAAATGGTAGGAAAGGGAATCAATTAAAACTAAACCTGAAACACAGAAGGCATTTGTTTTTCCAATATAATTTCAGACTATGTGATTAACAACCAGCTGTAGGTTCCAAAACTTAAGTTCTTCCTCTGGATCTCTTAAAATCCTCCTCTCACAGCCAATACTCAAAGATGACAGAAGCTGATACAATTAGTTACCATTGGTATTTTTTTTTCTTCCTTACGTAGCAAAATGCAAAATATACTCACCAACAACCAGCTCTCGCACATCTTTCCAGTGCAACTCACTGCCCTTCTCATGGATAATGGTGACTGTAATCCTACGCTGGATTCCCTGGTAGAGTTCAAAACCAAAACACACGTGAAGTATTCACACAGACAAACAAACACCATCTATTTCGCACTTACACTGCAAAAATGAAGTAAATAAGATAATTTAAATTAGTCTGTAACCGTGAACAAACACTTATGTGTTTCAGGGCCCTAAAATTAATCTAAGAGGAACATTATATTCTCATATGTAACAGAAATTACACTTCTCCCCTCCTCATTTCACAGAGGCAGAGTTTTTTAACCTTAAATAGTCCTGAAATTGTTGCTAAGCTGTCAAAGAAGATATGGTTCCCTGGGATATATCAGAGCTCACCCAAGCATTTGCTTGGTTTTGTGGTCATGGGTGCTCATATACTTACAGCGTATCTACCAAAAGAAGTTACTAGAAAATAGCAACTACTCATGCAGATACTCTCCTCCTTTGTCACGTGTATCTGTTACACGTCAAAATACAGTAAAACTCGGTACTAGCTGGGAAGAAAGTAAAATAGTAGAAGAGAAATAAACACCAAGTCTGGAAGACGACATATGGCCATGGAGAAGGTGCCTTGTGTGCAACTTTCATAAAAAGCTGGAAGAGGTTTGCCTATATTGTGAATTCTGCAATGGAACTGAGAGGCTAGAATTTCTCTGGTTTGAACTGGAAATACCTGATGAGGACACTAGTAAATCCAGAACTGAGTAACAGTTTAATTATTTTTTTTAAAGGAAATTATTGGAATATGACCATTATTCCTAAGCGGTAAGAATGGGGCCTCTCATTCTAAACTTTATGAAAAGGCACTGAGAATTTGAGTAAAAAAACCCTAACACACCTATAAACAATATTTAACTGGGATTATCTTCAGAATCTAAAGACAAATTATTATTAAGGATTATTACATTAGCATTTGTGATTGACTACAGGCACTGTGTAGATCTATCTTGCAGCCACATGCAGTGAGAAAGAACCAACAATAGTTGAGTCCACATGATCCTTCTGTGTTCTTGGTAGAGATGTTCGAGAGCACTGAGGGCACAAATCTGGTCCCAAAGGTTCCTGCTTTTTTAAAAGGCTTTCATCTTTATGCGTGGGATGCACAGGGATAAGCAAACAGCAATGTACTAGAGGCCAAACATCCTCTCCTCCTAGCCCAGGGCTAACAGACTAAGTACAGACTGCGTGACTGACCCTACAGCTACCTGTCAGACTGCTGTGTGGGAAAGGAGACATGAAAGATGGGAAATCCTGTCATTAGAGTTCCAATCTTTGTCGGTGACATGGATGAC